TTTTTTTTTTTTTTTTTTGCTTTGCTTTTTGTGGTTCTGGGAATGGACACAGGTCCTTTCAAGTGTTAGGCAAACACTGTCCTCCTAACCGTGTCTCCTGTTGAGAGATGAGATATGTTAATCATTAAATGATGGGACTTATGTTTCATAAAACTAGAACTTTTAGTTTGTGGTTGCAGTAAGTGCCCAGTAAATACTTGCTGACTGTTGGAATACCTTTGATTAACTAGGAGATGATTGGCTTAGAGTTTATATGATCATAGGAGATCACAGTTAAAATTGAAAATAAAAGGATTGGGCATTAAAAATCACTCCATGTCAGGAGTGGTAGAAACCTCAGTCCAATTTGAGCATTGTTAAGATATATGTAAAACCTTAAAGTTGTGAAATTTCTTATTATAGAAAATGTTATTTGAAGCTTCAGAAATATTTCTAGAAATATGATAAATAATAGTTGTAAACTGTGACTGACTAGTAGAAATGAGTTTTAAGAAAATTCCTGTTTTTCCTTGAAATCAAATATAACTTAAATAATTAAATAAAATCACCATACCCATGCTCCTGTTCATTTATTTTGATAATGTCAATATTTATTCCTTGTAAGACTGGAACAGCAGTATAGAGGGAAATGCAATCTAACGACGCATACTTTTTCCTCTGGTACCTGAAGGTTAAATGGGTAGCAAGCAGAATGCCTTAAACAAGATTGGTATATTGATTAAAACGCTGATTTAACAGCTCGCAGTTTCCCCTTGGAAACCTGCAAAAGATAAGCCAGCTGCTGTCTTAGAGTGCTCAGTGTCCACTGAGAGTACACTATCTATCATCACAATATGGTGATGAGAGGTGTTTTATGTTTGTGTTAATTTCCCCCACTAAATCAGTAATTATTACAATCCTGTCCCTGCTGTTTACCCCGCAGCTGTTTTTCCATTTGTCGAGAGAGCGGGTGTTCTCTGAGGACCGCACACGTTTCTATGGTGCAGAAATTGTCTCTGCTTTGGACTATCTACATTCTGGAAAGATTGTGTACCGTGATCTCAAGGTAAAAAAAAAATGTAACCAACATTTTTTTTTTTCAGACTGTAGGGACAAAGTAATTACAAAGTTACACAGTTTTGAGAAAAGCAGTCTTCTTAGGAATGTTTTTTGCTGTAGTTGATCTGAAATTTCATTCACTGATATGTAAGTGGTTCTTTTATGTTTTGGTTTTTGGCATATGAAAATTCTCTTGACTTTGCAAAACTGATCTACCAAGAGTAATTTCATTTCCTGTAAATGCTGTAATTATAGAAATGATAAACATCTGAGTTAAAGTCAGGTGATTTGCAACCTTATTATTATCTTCAGACATAAAATATTTATGAAGAAGCTTTGATAAGAAGGTTATTTGAAGGAAAACATGCATTTTCTTTGTGATATTAACTTTAGATAGGATTATATTCCTCACATTTTTCTATAAACTTAGTAGTTTGCTTAGTTTTTTATTTGTCAAAACCCTGTATTGCTGTGTTGGTAATAAAAGCTTGCTGAAACAGCTGTAATAGGTAAACATTCTGTAAGGCAAGGTAACAAGTAGTTTTGCCTTTTCTGTCTCTCAAGTCTCTATTGGAACTATTCAACACTGAAAGGTAAAATCAGCCTTAGCCATTATGTAAATCAGTGTTTGGCGATGTTCCCACCAGTCTTTACTTATGAAAGCAGTCAGTGGTTTAGATTTGACTACACTCTGTAATTTGCTGCTCCCTGCAGGAGATCCTGTAAGCAAATGATAATTCTCATGATGCGGTCATGAATAAGGTTGACTATGTTAAGGAATCCTGATCATGGCATATTTTCAGCAAATTCTTAAGTTTAGCATCTTCTTTAAAATGTAAAGGCTGGGAGTACAGCTCAGTGGTCAGACACTTGCTCAGTTTAGGGATGACACTGACTTTTATCCCAACACTTAGGCACCCAGTGCTGTGGTTGAGGCAGGGAAGCTAGAAGTAGTCTATATTTGTAAACCCATCTGATAGAAACACTGAAGTATGATCACAAATATGAGGATACCTTGGGTGGTCTAGTGAGACTTTTTCTCAAAATAAATACTGGACTGAGTGGTAGCTCAGTGGGTATAGGTCCTTGTTGGGCAAGCAAGTGGACCTGAGTTCCTAACTCCATTGCTCACATACAAGCCAAGCAGGGTCATATGTTTTAAACTCTAGAAAGTGAAGATAAGTGGACCCTGGGGCATATCTGGCCAGCCAGTTTAGCCTGAATGGCATGCCTCAGGTTCATTGGGAAGTTTTGTCTCAGAAATTAAGTGGAGAAGTGATTGAGGAAGAAATCCCAATATCAATTTCTGGTCTCCACATGTTCTCACAGGTACACTAATACAAATTAATCAAATGATTTAGATGTACTTCTTAGAATTTTAAATATGGTAGAATTTATCACTCTTACAGGGACTTCCTGAGCACAAACACATGTGCCTGCACACATACACTACAAACACATACCAGGTGCGTGTAGCCCAGTAGGTTTGCCTAGCATGGATGATTTCAGACCCCAGTACTTAGGGAAAAGTAGAAATCATGTAGTAATATTTGCCTATTGAAATTGGATTGATAGCTCCATTCCTGATTACAGAACTATTTCGTTTAGAGCATAATTTGGTTTGTAAAAATAGAAGTTGTGCTCCAAAGCTACAGAGAAACCCTGTCTCGAAAAACCCAAAAAAAAAAAAAAAGTAGAAGTTATGTGATATTTTCATGGAATTACATTTTGTATGAAGTTGGGTATGTGCCTAAGAAATAATGAATATCCTGTTACTACTGTCTTACTTATAAAGCTATTTGGGACTCTTAATTCTTATCCAGTTATGTAAGCAGGTGCCTAGTTTGTTTCAAGATTTTCTTTAACTCTCATGTCTTAAGGACTAACTGTTGTATAAAATATCATTTCATACAGTAATAATGAAAACAGTTTATATTGTTGTATAGTCAATTAAAATTTAAGGATTAGAATGCTGTACTTAAAGATAATGAGATATACAGCCAAAAATATTTAGTTCAGGGATGGTTAAATGTCTGAGTGCCATAATGAATACATTCAACTAGATGGTTATATTTAGTTTATCTTAGAACTAGGAATATGATGGAATTCAGCACCTTTACATCTATTCTATGTGTTAAGTATAGATGCTTTAAAAACCCTAGTTATACATATATATGTATTCCAGCTATACTTAAAAATCCTTAACTTTTCTCTTCATAAGTTTACCTTTTTCATCACTACTCATGCTGATCAATCATATTTATGGAAAACAAGAAGGCAGAGAAGCCTGGAGTTAAAGAAATGAGAATAGTTTTGAAGTACTGGGTAAATCTAAAATAATCAACAATAGTAGGTGGTCTTACTAGTTCAGAGAGATCTGAAGAAGACAGTTCATCTGAGCCCTAGCAGCAGTCAGAGGGTCTTGGTCAGAGTTGCCTACTGACATCCCTAGTGAAATGAATTATTACTATAGTAAAGGTCATTAAATATACATTTTGTTTCTATATTGTTTATGATGAAATTAGATTTAATTTATCGATGTATAATATAAAGTGTGTACTCTGTATGTGAATGCCCATCATGTAGTTACCATATACAAGGTCGTAACTTTATCAAACGTTTTTATGTTCTATGTTCGCTCAAAATTCCCTTTATAAATGTTGCATTAATTTAATCTTTGAAATACATTTATAGTATAGAATAGAGAGCATATCATATATCACAGAACACACATAATTAAGAAAGCAAAATTTAAAATTTATTCATGCTCTTTGCATCTGAAGTTCACAAGCTTTTGCATGACAGAATGGGATCATTTAGGTAGGCTCACAGGAAATCAAGGTCTGGATTCGAGACAGTGTTCTGCAAGCATAAAACTAAATTGACACTAACAAGATTATTGGAACATGGGTTTGTCAGTCAGCTTTCTATTATGGTAATATAACACTTATGAAGAAAAGGGTTTTATTTTAGCCCATAGATTTTAATGGTTTTATTCCACTCCAAAATTAGGTAGACCCTTTGCTTTTGGACCTCTGATGTGAAGAATCCACATAGCGATACAGGAATCACATAGTAGAGAATCTATTTAACTCATCAGTGAGAAAGCCAATAGAAGAGAAAGGGTTCTCCTCCCACCGTTCCCTCAAGAATGTGGACTAAGGGACTAGGGCCTCTCACTGGACCCCATTTTCTAAAGGTCCTACCCTCATCCAATATCACGAGGCTGATCTAAAGAACATCTAAGATCCAAAGTATAGCACCATGATCATATTTCCTGGTTTAATATGCTTTTATTTACAACATTTTTTCTAGAGTTGAAAACTAGATAAGAAAATGGAAATGCATTGGATTATATCTATTTTTAAAGTCTTTGTGATACGTATATATGTGTATCTAGTATATTATGTGGTGTTTATGTAGCATGATATACATTTGGAGTCAGATGTATGTCAGTCCTCAGCTTTCATCTTGTTTGAGACAAGGTTTCCTTTTTACTATTGTTTGTGCCAGGCTAGGTGGATCTTGAGTTTCCAGCAATTCTGTTTCCACTTTCTTCTCACTGAAGAGTCACTGGGGGTAATGCTTTCCATGGGTCCTGGGGATCCAGACTCAGGTACTCATGCTTGGATTGCAAGCCCCTTACCAACAGATCATCTTCTTGGTCCTTATGTTTATTTTTAAAGATTTAATATTTTTATTTGTGTGTGTATCTCTGTGTGTGTGCATGTTTATGCCTTTGTGCATGTTCCCGCAGAGACCAGAAAGAGGTGTCAAATTCCCAGGAACTGCAGTTGCAGGACCCTAGTGTGGTTCTGGGAACTGAACTCCAGGCCTTTAGAACAGTGAGTGTTGCTAAATGCTCAGTCATCTCTCCAGCCCCAAACCTTTAGGTTTTTATGAAACTGAAATTAATCGAAACTATCTGAATGACTGCTTTAGATATTAGATGTATAAAAACAGTATCACCAAAAACTGATTTAGTGTTAGGTATGATAGCTCACAACTTCCCTGTACCTAGAAAGCAGAGTCAGGTGGATCTCTCAGCTCAAGGACAGCCCCTTCTTGTAGCCCAATATGTTCCAGGCCAGCCAAAGCTATGGAATAAAACCCTGCCATAAAAAGGATACCTCCTGCCCCCATTTAGGTATTCATGTTGATGAGTCTCAGAGTGGACTCTGATCTTATTAAGGAATTGGTAGCTATTTATATGCAAATAGCTTGAGATGCCTGCAGTGGCTGAACTTCTTTCTTTAAAAAGATAAAGATTTATTTAATGTGTGTGTAGAAGACAACTTCTGGTAATCAATTCTTCCATTCCACCCCATGGGCCCCCTTGAACAAGGTGCCATTCCACACTGAACTGTTTTCTCTGGTTCCTGGATTTCTTTCTTTAACACTGCAAATAGTGTTCCCATTCAGCATTGGAAGCAAAGCCTCTTCTTGTATTAACTTAGAAATTTATTAGTCCTTGTTTGGTTTCAAAGTTACAACTAATTACTAAAACGTTTGTTGCTTTTTTAGAAAGTAGCTTTGCTTGATTTACTAGTTTATGTCATTATATGAAATTCTGTTTCATTAAGGGCTTCCTTAATAAACACTTAAGTTACTTAATAAAAATTAAAAAAATAAAAATAAATAAATAAGTAAAAAATTGATATTGTTTCAGGATACCATGAAAATTTGAAGAGATTCCGTACAAGAATCTTCAGTAGCGAAAGTTGTATATTTTCTTTTCTACATATTCCTTACTTACAAGCACAATATTTATTTACAGTGACCATGATTGTCCATGTCCAGACAAGGCTAGACAGAGACATTTATAGACATGAATGTAATGATTCTAGAATTAGTCATTAATTTCTTTTAGTGATTATGAGGAGATAGAAAGATCTGTATGCTGCCACTGTATAATACTTTGGAATATCTAGTTTTATTTTCTATATGTTTAGGATACCAGTAAAAGAACCCTCCAACTGTCCTTTGACCACAGACTTGGAGTTTTTA